AACTAAGCTTTGGCAATATTTTTATTGAGAGGGGCATTTCTGACACTAAAAATATCTCTCTCTCTCTACCTCAATGACGAGATGGGGGTGGGTCCAGTAAAAGAGCTGGCGCAAAATGGCGGGGCCCATTCGGACTCCATCCCATTTATCAAATCCCATTTTCTGCTCTCCTATACGCCCACAGCCCACTCGCTCCAAAATATCTCATCATATACATATACACACACATAAACACGATAATATCCATCCTCATACCGCCATCGCCACGACCTCCATACCAGGAGAAAACGATTCCTTCGGTTCAGACTTTTCACTTTCTACGGATAAGATGAGAGAGATAATCAGCATACACATTGGGCAAGCGGGGATTCAGGTCGGCAACTCCTGCTGGGAGCTCTATTGCCTTGAGCATGGCATTCAGCCCGATGGCATGATGCCCAGGTATCTAATTCTCTCTTTCCCTTTTTTCCCCCCTTTGTTTTTTCCAATTATCAGTCATTATTTGTGTCTCTTATTCGATTTGAACTTCGCTTTTGTGCCTATTATATTTTCTACGTTTGCAATTTCGGTATATTTTTCTGGCCGGGCGAACTGGGATTTAGCATGTACGAAAGATCGAGTCTGTTTGATGTTTATCCCCATGTGATGAATGTGAGATAGTTCAATTGTTGATGAACATGAAAGCTGATAAGACACCTGATTTCCTATTCTGAGTTGTCTGTTAGAAGCCCTTGGTCTGTTTAAACAGCATTTGGATTTTACCATCCCTTATCTTTTCCTGCTTACTTTATCTGCAGTGATTCTACAATTGGTGTGGAGCATGATGCTTTCAACACCTTCTTCAGTGAAACCGGTTCAGGAAAGCATGTCCCTAGAGCTATATTTGTTGATCTTGAACCCACTGTTATTGATGAAGTTAGGACAGGGGATTACCGCCAGCTTTTCCACCCAGAACAACTCATCTCTGGAAAGGAGGATGCTGCCAACAATTTCGCCAGAGGACACTATACTGGTTAATATCCATATTGTTTTCAGATTCAGAGTTTTTTCTTTCATAATTGCATGAACTCTAGAGGGGAAAAAAAAAAGAGGGGGAAAAAGAAATCAATACACTTGCTTTGCTATTTACAGCTGAAATGTAGTCATCAGTTGGGTTAATCCTAGTGAATGCTCACTTTATTGATTTTCTAGAATCATGAGAGTTGACATGAATTTATACCTTTCTCAGTCCTGGATTTTGAGATTTCTAATGAAATGATGTTGTAGAATAATTAGATATCTTGTTCATGACACACATACTTTGTTGGTTTGCTGATGTTTATTCATATCACTAGTTTAGTCATTAGTCAAGCTTTCTTACTATAATGTAGCTAGGTATATGGTGCGAGTTTTGAGGTTTCTTTTTCCCCATCATGCCCATTGAAGTCTTAGTGGTGTGCCAGTTTTATATTTGCAAGAACGATATTGTAGTGGTGCTGTTATTCACTGATGATAATCCTTTTTGCAGTTGGGAAAGAGATTGTGGATTTATGCCTTGACCGAGTGAGAAAGTTGGCTGATAACTGCACAGGATTGCAGGGTTTTTTGGTTTTCAATGCTGTAGGCGGTGGTACTGGTTCTGGATTGGGTTCATTGCTCTTGGAGCGCTTGTCGGTTGACTATGGGAAGAAGTCAAAGCTTGGTTTTACAATCTATCCTTCACCTCAGGTGCTTAGAAATTTCATTTTCCCACAAATACACACTGCATGCTCTTAATTTGACTTTGCTTCCTCATGATTGCATATTTTGATTGAATGAACAGCACAGCACTTTCCTTAAAAATAATTTTCAGCTCATAATCTGTTAATACATCTTCGTCTCTGTAGATAACCCTGACGCGAACTAATTATTACTCATGAGTTGAATACTGGGTATGTTTGCATACAAAAAATTTCAAAAAAATTCTAACATTTTAACACAACCACTTTTTTTAACTCAACTTTAATTAACCCCACTATCATCAATATTATAAAAATAATTAAATAATATCAATCAATCATTCATACATACCATATCAACCTTAATTCACTATTCATCTACTCACATTATTTTCACTAACTATCACTTCAAATTATCTCTCTCCTACTTTTAAATCAACCCTATTTTAATTATTCTATTTTAAATATTATTTTAATATAACTACTAACAACAAACCATACCATCTTTTCAAAATTAACCAAACCAAACCAAAAAATCCAACAACAAAAATTTTTATATCCAAACATGTTGGATTATAAATTGTTTGTCTCAACTGCAGGTCTCGACAGCAGTTGTCGAGCCTTACAACAGTGTCCTCTCCACCCATTCTCTTCTCGAGCACACTGATGTGGCTGTTCTATTGGATAATGAAGCCATCTATGATATCTGCCGGAGGTCCCTTGACATTGAGAGGCCCACATACACCAATTTAAATCGACTCATCTCCCAAATCATATCATCCTTGACTACCTCCCTAAGATTTGATGGGGCAATCAATGTGGATATTACTGAGTTCCAGACCAACCTCGTGCCCTATCCTCGCATTCACTTCATGTTGTCATCATATGCGCCTGTGATATCAGCTGAGAAAGCATACCACGAGCAGCTTTCTGTCCCAGAGATCACTAATGCTGTTTTCGAGCCTTCGAGCATGATGGCCAAATGTGACCCTAGGCACGGAAAGTACATGGCTTGTTGCCTGATGTACCGTGGAGATGTTGTGCCTAAGGACGTCAATGCTGCTGTTGCTACTATCAAGACGAAACGTACAGTTCAGTTTGTTGACTGGTAAGTAAAATTGCTTCAGATGGCCAAATTTGAATAATGAGAGGTGTGATTTTTTTATGCTGCAGTGTTCTTTTCTTTATTTCATTTCCAAAGTTCATGTTAGGGTATCAATATTTTCTTTTTCCTTTTACAAATGGGAGTTATGCCTTTTATTTCTCACAAAAGAAAGCACCCACGAAGCCCCAACTGATAAATGAAAGAAGAAATGTAAACCTTAATTTGAAGAAAAGAAAAATATGATCCTCGAATTGGGAAATTTAAATAATTGAGAGACCCGAGTCTGGACAGAAACCAAATTTGAGTTTTTTCCTGCAGTAATTGTTGGCATTAGTTTGTGACTCAATTGAACTCCATCTTCAAAAAGTATTTTTTTTTTTATATCTTTCTTCTCCATTGAGGGCTCTTGTCATGCCGATTCCAATTTTTCGGTTCCAGATCCGGGTTACATGTTTTATTCTCAAATACCAACTCACACTAAACCCAAAAAACCCGAAATCGGGAAAACTAAAGCAAAATGTAACCCATATTTATTTGTTCTTTTGGTCCCTCAAATTAATTCTTGTGATTTTTCAATAGGTGCCCAACTGGCTTCAAGTGTGGAATCAACTACCAACCACCCACCGTTGTCCCTGGGGGTGACCTGGCCAAGGTGCAACGTGCAGTGTGCATGATCAGCAATAACACTGCAGTTGCCGAAGTCTTCTCCCGAATTGACCACAAGTTCGATCTCATGTACGCTAAGCGGGCTTTCGTCCACTGGTATGTGGGTGAAGGAATGGAGGAAGGTGAGTTTAGCGAAGCCCGTGAGGATTTGGCGGCTCTCGAGAAGGACTATGAAGAGGTTGGTGCCGAGGGTGTTGATGATGAAGACGAAGGCGAAGAATATTAAAAGTAATGTTTGTTGGTATCGTGCGGGTTTTTACTATCTGTTTGTAAATTGCTATGGTTTGTGATTTCTGCTTCTTGTCTTTGGATCTTCTTGGGGTGTGTTTCTTTAACAATTCTGAATTTCTGTGTATGATGTGGAAGGATTCATGTTGGTGTAGTTAATTGCTATATTTTTTTTTTTTTTTGGTCGTTTTCTCATTTTGGCACCCATTGTCGTGGCATTAAAAAATTGGGAAACATTGAAAGAATTGAAGTTCCCTGAAATGCAGAAAATATGAAATGTGACGTGAAATGTTACATCATTTGAAGGAACATTCAATAGAAAAAGGAACGAAGTTGAGCTAATGAAATACAGCGGAAGACTTTAACAATAGCACTCGAAATGACATAAATCACACGAAACGCAAGCACGAAAACAATAAAAATTAAATAAACATTGAACACAGAGAAAAATTTTATACAAGTATAATATAATTGTGTTTTGCTCTTTATCAGTCCTCTCCTTAAACCTTCTTTTACACTTCCCACGCTATACGTCATTCAAAACATCATTCTTACTCCTACAACCATAAACTTCCAATAACAATAAACCTCATAAACCTCCTTATTTACGGGTCTCGCATATTTCTCACTTATTTTTAATTAAATTATACTCTTATATTTTCATTAATATTTTAAAACTATAACTCTATTTTTTATCCAATCTAAATATTTATATATTTATCATAAAGACATATAAAAAATAATATAATTATTACATAATTATAGAGTGTTAAAATAATTACGAAACATAGAAATTACATAGTGTTGAAAAAAAACTACCAAGTAAATAAACACATATGTTTATGAATTGTGTCAATTTTTATAATTAAAGTAAAACATATTTTCTAATAATCTGAAACATTAAATATTAATTATTTATGATTTTTTTTTCAAAAATAAGAATGAAAAAAAAAAATGAGGAGTATTTTTCTATCTATAGTTGGAATTGATTATTCTTGGATATAAATTTTTTTGGATTTGTTTAGATTTTTTTGTTTGGTTTGGTTAATTTTGAAAAGGGTGGTACGAGTTAGTTGTTAGTGGATATATTAAAATAATATTTAAAATAAAATAATAAAAATTGATTTTATGTAAAAGTAGGAGAGAGATGATTTGAAGTGATGGTTAGTTAAAATTATATGAGTGGATGAATAGTGAATTAAAGTTGAGTTAAAAAAAAGTGATTGAATTAAAAATGATTGGATTTTGTTGGATGAATTTGTATCCAAGCATCCTCTTAATATTCAAATTGCCACTAAAAAAAATAAAAAGCAAAAGAAAAAATAGAAAGAATCAAATGTTGCTTAAAGAGGGTCGATTATTGAGCTTAGCTATATACCCCCATCCAATACTTGTGTAAGCATAAGAGGAAGAATAAGAATAGAGTGAGCATGGGGATCCGGTTGTAGACAGGGAATGCTTTGCCGGATGTGTGTGACTTCACGATCTAAAACCTCTTTCGCTCGCATGGTTTGACTTTGAAAGGGCGGCATGATCAAAGGTAATGAAGCAGGCACATGTCTTGGCGTGTGGTGGGCCAATACTCATCAAGCCATTGAACAATTGTTGTATAACACGTGCTTTGATTTAAGTGATAGATAGCACTGCGTGTAGCAACATCCTATGTATATATTTTTTTATAGTTTTTAAAAAATACAATTTTGGAGGTTTAAGGGAGGTTTGTGTAGACAAACCTGGTCTATATTCAAAACCTTAAACCTCTCCTTTATAATAGTAAAACCTCAAAGTTTGTATTTGTAAACCTCGCTCAAAACTCTTTTGTTAAAGATGCTCTAAAGACAGAACTTTATACAATTAGGATAGAAAGTAAAAATCTATTAATATAAAAAAAAATTGAGATTTACTTGAAATAGCATGTAAAGTCTTTGTCTTTGTCTCTATCCCTGCAGTACGGATTTGGCGCCCGCGACACCCACTCCCTCAATCTAACCCTCACTCTTCAACTCAGCTATCTTCTCCGACATTGTCTCCAATAATTTGCCTTTTCAAGCTTAAGCCAGGCTGAACCAAATTTATGTCATCTGTAAAATTCTCTCATCGGAGAGCCCCCTTCTCTCCTCGGAGAGTCCTTTATTCTCATCGGAGAGTCCAATCTTCTCATCGGAGAGATTCTTCCTCTCTAGGGAGGGACCTATTCTCATTTCTATCATCATTCACTCGCCTAATTCACTGGTTTCGAATTCCACTAGGGTTTCATATCGGTACAGTAAGCCTCGATGGAAGCGGATTCAACACCCAATCCAGCGGAGGAAGTAGCGCGCCGCCTCAGAGCATTCACATTATCGGAAAAAGAAATTAAAGTTATTGATCTTGGTACTGATGATGTCAAAGCAGGAGTGGAGGAATGCCACAAAAGCCTTTTTGGAAAAATTGGGGGCGATAAACGGGCCAATCTTGCAGGAGTTAAGAAGGCTATGACTCTAATATGGAAACTGAAATACTCTATGCAGGTACGTGAACTTAGCCCCAATTTCTTTCAGTTCACTTTTGAAAATCTAGAGGACATGGATAGAGTGGCGGGGGGGGCATTAACTGGATTCTGGATAATCAATACCTGGTTCTGAAGAAATGGAGGGCAGGGCTAACTAGTAATGATCCCGTTTTCAATGAAGTTCGTTTCTGGATACAAGTGCACCATATACCTCTCGATTGGCTAACCACGGATGTTGGGCTGAAAATAGGGAAAGTTTTTAAGTCAGACTCAAATGTTGTTGTGGGAATCATGGTATTCAAGGAGGACGACTTATTAAACTCCTTGAACAGTGGACATATCAGAACCTCTTCCCAGATGTGCGTCCATAAGACTGGGAAATCAACTGGTTACAGTCACATTTAAATATGAGAGGCTAGTCAGTATGTGCTTCTACTGTGGCAAGGTGGGACATATTGAGAAAGGGTGTGGCCTAAGAATATATGATGTTGTGCATCAATCGTTGAAGGAAGGTCAGTATGGGGAATGGATGAAGGCAGCTGAAGGGCTGCAGGGTCTTAGTTGGAATAGTAATTCATCCCCGGGGCTAGATGGAGATCAACCTTCCTCTCAGTTTAGAGAAACAACTGCTATGAATCAGAGCCCTACTTCCAATAGGGATTCACCTGGATTAGCACTCAGTTCAGTTCCAAAAAATATATCTTCTCCGCACCTGGAAGTTAAGGTGTCTAAACAAGGGGAAGGATCATCCACAGGGAATAATGATAAAGAAATGATGCCCTATGAGCCCTCGATGGAGGTTATTCAAGTAGGCAACCTAGAACCATTGACTACTGTCCATGAAAATATGGAGCCAGCACAAGCAGTTCAGGAACAACCCTTCAATGTTTGCACAACCCCTATAATCTTTTTGCCGCAAATTTATTTGCAGAATTTCACCCAAAATAAAGCCCAAGCTGAGTGATGCTTTAGTAAGAGAAAAATGTATTGCAAGAGGTAGGTTTTTGTTACTAATAAACAATAGAAACAAGTATATTCTGTTACATCATTAGTTAGTGGAAACAAGGATGCTAATGCTCAAAGACGGATTTCGTTCTGTTGCTATCACTAACGGATTTTGTAACAAGCAACCCATTTCTAGTATTTGATAAATAGAAACCAAATTAGGAATGAGACTATTTGTTCTTAATTATTCAGTAATAGAAAGCAAATTAGAAACGATAATAGTTGTTCCTAATTATTCAGTAATAGAAACCAAATTAGAAGTAAGAATATTTGTTCCTAATTCTCATTTCAGCTACCAAATTTGTATTGGATCGTTCCGTTCTTAATATTTTAATATTGGTGACAATTACAACATAATGGCATAACTTTTTATTTTCATCCGATGCATTAAGTAATCATAATATTAGTTTTCAGTAAATTTCTTTAGCATCAAATGAAGTCATTAATACCACTTACAATAAGCAAGCAAGATTAAAAATAAATAAAATACAATTATTTTATTTCATCAGTACAATAATAAAAATTTAATTGATAAAACATCAAAGTGCAATTAATAAATTACTAATCATTTTATATACTCAAATAAAACAGGAACTAATATTTTTAACATTTGAAGGTGATCTCTCAGTAGAACTCGCTGAGGCTTCTCTTGTTGTTGTGCCATTGATGCCTCATTCTTAGTTACATTCTTGTGTCTGTATATAATAATCAAATTATTCATCAGATCATATATTAGTGACAAGTTTAAAAAAAAATGGACTTACAGTATCTATAATTTTTCTGCCTCAGTTCAATTTACACTTACATTTTCCCATCAACTTTTCCAAAAAAATTACCATTATCGCCATACAAGGATTTAAGATTTTTGGAGACTCTGGATAATTCAAATCCAGTCCTATGTTTGGACACTTCACTCGTAATGCTAAATTGTAAATCTCCATGTAAGTATGCTGCTAGATTTCACTGCCAAATTTTAATTCCGAGTAATTGCAGATGAGTGTATGCCGAAGTATGAGTGTTCAGTAGTCTTCAATTAATAGGATGGTTTTAAATGCAGCGAGTGATCAGTTAATATGATATATGAGTTTTAAACGCAGTGAGTGGTCAGTTAATATGATATACATACATCTTCAGTTAAACGCAATGTGGGTTGTACCAATGTTTAATTACAACTCACCATTTATTAACTGTACCAATTACTTACTATTTATTAACTTAACTCATTGTGCGCCTCAATAATTATTTATTCACTCTACGTTTATATTTTTTAAATAAAATAAATTATAAAGTTAGCATACAATATTTTAATATTATTCATATAACTGTAAATGGTATAAGAAAATACAAACCAAAACAGAAGATGCTACAAGAAAATGATTCATATAGATGGCTGACACATAGGATTAAAATATATCTTAGTCCATCGAGAAAAGTTGTACAAGAAACTAAATCATTAACTAAAAGATCTAGGAAAACCAAATAATCCATAAAGAAAAATTGCAAATGTAATTAAATCTTTAATTATTATTAATATTTTGGCAAGCAGCCGATCTTGAGACACAGGATATGTTAGCCTCCGTACCTAAGATACCGAAGTTAACGAGGCGGACCTGGTCCGACCCGTCTTGAAAATGAGGTAGATTTGACCTGCACCAAAAGCTCCGGGCTGGACCAAGTAAATAAATATTTCAAATTATTTGATTAGCATGAGATGTTTGTTCGAACTCATTCAAGCTCGAAGATGAATATTAAATTAAATAAAATAACTTCATATTTTAGATTTTTATAAATATATATAATATAGATAAACATAAAAAATAAAATAAAAATTATTAAATGGATATTCGTGAACATTTGCGAATAAGCTCAGGTTTGTCAATTATTAAACGCACCTAGTTTTCTGTTCGGGCTTGACTTGATTAACAAAAGAATGAGCTCTTATTGAACAGGAACAGTGTGGAATAATTTTATTAATGCTTTTTAAAAAGCGTCACAAAATACATCAATTTTAATTACGATTATTAAAAAAGTCACTATATTTATGTTGTTAGAACTCCTTTTTGTTGTAGTGTGATGTACTAATTGAACTTTTAGATAAGAAAGTGGGGCATTGAGTAGCTCCTTTAGTCCAATTCAAGCATTTTTCTCAAACTAGCTTCGAATGAACCTTACTCTAGTGTTCGAGCTTTGGCGATAAATGAAATAGTTATATTTTATATTAAAATCATATAAATTAGAATATGCTACAATTTTAAGTCTTTAAATTGAAACCATGTATATGTATTTGTAACATACGGAGTTAGTCACAAAATTAATTACTAATATAAATATATTTGTTTAAAGTACATTCCGTTTTTAAAATTATATTCCGTATCTAAATCATGTTACTATTGTAACAACTAAAATTTAGTTGCAAATTTTGATTACTAATGCAACAATTTCTAGTAGTTTTTGAAATCGGATTTTAACCCAATCAATGTGGACCTCTCAGATACAATGTATTTGGACATTGTAGTGATGAGTCCACTTGATTGTTTCAGGTGGAGTAGTGGGGTGTAAACAGTTGAAAAGGACAGACTTAACACCTACCACTTCTGCCCAATAACAACCATCAGTGGATTGTTATATGAAGACCAGAGGTCATCTCCATCAGTGGGTTGTTATATGAAGACCATAGGTCATCTCCTACTAGTTGGAAATGTCTAGAGGTAGAAAGAGACTCACAAGACATACATCTGCATCTCACTCTCTACTGAAAGCCTTACGTATCATATCATATACAGTGCTCAGTTCTCGACTCTATTTAAGTTCGTTGGAGCTCTGAAGTTCTAGTGTGCTACAGCTTCCGAGCTGCTTGTCGTTGTATTTTTGGGGACGAGACGCACAGACCCATTAGCACTATACGGGGCACATTTGTCTTGCGAAAAGAGTTTACTCGCCTCGGCTTTAATCTTTTCGCTCTCAGTTTGTTATCTTTTTCTTTTTTGTTTTTTAGCTCAAGTTGTACGAACTGAAAACACAAGTCAGGTTACCTGTGTAATTTCGACACTAAGTTTAAAACAAGAAGTTATGTTTTTCACCCCACAGTGTAATTGATTGTGCAATCATTATGCGACCAATGTGCGATCGGCTATGTCATCGATTGTGCCATCATTGTGGTATCTTGTGATGCAATATATTGTAAGGTCATCGTGCGACTATATTGTGTGCCCATTATGCGACCATTGCGCGATCATGCATACAATGACGTCATTGTGAGATCATATTGTGCAATCATTGTGCAATTTTTTTCGTACAATTTGGAGTGAAAATAAGTATTGAAAATGTGATGTGTAAAATCAAGTATCACTCATTTTCGGATTGAAAAAGATGCTCGCCGTTTATTTATTCATCACTTTTCTTTGCTCTGTTTTTTTCTGGAAGTGAGGCGTAGTAGACCGTTGATATTGGCGGGAGTCAGATTATAAAATTTCTTGTGGAGATCACATAAACAGGGGAAAAATATGCACAGATGTATCGAAATTTCTTAGAACCGCCTTTTTTTCTATTTTGACGATGAGGACAAGTGCATCATTTCCTCAAAGTTGGTAAGAATCAAGTGGAAACTTAAACAGAAGTAAACTGTAACGATGATCACTCTGAAAATGATTTCTTAAAATATCTAAAATAAAATAATTTTAAATCGGACCGAAGTTTTGGCACAGAGTTGGAACATCCCAAAAGAGATCATTATCATAACTAATATCCAGCCACTTTTCTTCAGTCGTTCCATTCATTGGATAAACGCATTTTGATCTTTGTCGTTCCAACTTCAAACGCTCAAAATCTTGGCGTGTGTCATTTACCGGCACATAAAATCCATCACTCTTGTCGAAATCCATATTGTAAGCCGGAGTGTGATCACAAGGGTTGATTTGAGTCGAGCACATTGGATTGTTTTCAAATGTTTGGGTGGCTAAGGGATCAAGACTTGGAGGGTGGGCCTCATTAGGCATGCCTCTCTTTTGATCGAGAAGGTTCCGGATTTTCAAAGACAGAGCTGGATTACAAGGGATGTTGTTAGGAAAATTGGTGTTAGAGCCGCGAAGAAGGAAAGAAGCCTCGTCATAAGCCATGGCTGCCTCCTCAGCTTTGTCGAAAGTGCCGAGCCACATTCGGATCCTTTGACTCGTCTTCTTGATTTCGGCAACCCATTTGCCAGAGGATCTTTGTCTCACACCAATTGTTCTTCTTTCTGGATTTGTTTGTTGTTGTGGTGTGATTGATGATATTGGTAGAGGTGGTGTGCGATTGAGGATCCATTGTTTTCTTTTTCTACTTCATTTTCCACAATGTTTAAGAGGAGAGGTTTTGATTTGGAAATTAGTTTGTTAAACATATACTTGGAATGGGGCTATTTTCATTTTTATTTTTATTTTTATATTATACTGAAAAATTTTTTAGGTAGCAAGTTGACCGGATTTTCTATTCTATGATAAGTGGGGGAATATGGTGTGAAGCACGAGCTGTGAGCATGACAAACTATGTGGAAAATGTTTGTTTTTGTTTTGTTGGGTTTCTACAAAGGCATGCTAAATTCTATCGACCATACTGCTCAACACGTTCTTTTGCCATTTCTTCAAAAGAGAAAATTGGGATGATAAGGCCATGTCGTTATATGAGTCATGAGTATATGTATGAGGTTGGATTTGTATTTCATTACAGCGCTTTCATCAATTCATTTATAGTAAGTTTTTGTGATGAAACTAATGTATGTACGGGTGGTTTTCTCAAAAACATTGGACTTTTGCAGTGTATTGAAAAACATGTGTTATTTTATTAGTACTTTAATTTTTGCATTATTAAAAAGATTGAAACTATAAATAGATCATATGAAAGTATTTGCGAATAATACCTATAGTCAGAATAGTCATCAATTAGTTGTAACAATGTTTCATAATATTTATATGTTCATGTCACACAAGAAGCAAATAACAACCCCTAAACTCTGTCGCCTCCTGCACCCAATTAAATTATGCAAATGGTCAGACAAGTCACCTTATTATACAACCATATTTTTTAGTAAGTATTTCAAAAACAATTTAAACTAAAATATATCATATTAAAAGTATAATGAATTGGTGCCTAAATTTGACATGTGAGTAAAAGGTACAGCGGTTTGACACACAAAAATTCCATGTAAAGACCAAAAATTCCATTTATGTTTAACAAATAAACCAAATACATAACCATGTCTATAACAAACAAATCTCCGGTATGATATCATCACAAGACCAAAACTGAAAGGAATTGCATCCAACAACTCCCAAATATCACACACAACCGACAAAACAAAATCTCACAAATAAAAGTTAACTTCCCACACCCCACCAGCCCACCCCAAACAAACAAGAAAGAAGAATAAATAAGTATATTACTTTCCTTGTGATTTTGGAAGCAATAATATACATTTTCTATAAAATCATCTGCAAAATGTATCCACACTCGACCAAATGAGGCTGGCATGCATAAACCAATATGTTGTCAACGTTCGGAAAAAGAATTGGCTTAAGAAGAAAGCTCACCCAGGAACAAACGACCACACACAATACTCAGAAACCTCATGAAAAGCAATAGTTGACATCAAATCAGCCCTGTGATGACAGAATTGACTGCAAAGCAAGCTGCTGCTGAGGTTGCAAGGACGACCAAGTGGACGCCAGCGTGGAAGGAGGTAGCGTCTGCTGTAGCTGTCTCAACAAATTAACCATTCGACCAGCAGTTTCATCCGAGGCAAGATCCTTACCAGCACACAGAACCTACAACACCACAAATTTATATGCTAACGATATATGACACGATTTCCATTTAATATTTTGTCCAACTTACAAGTTACAGGATAGTAAACAATACGGACTGCATACAACAGGTAATTCCAGAAACTTAACCCTCACGTTTAACCTAATTACAAATGGACCCAAATATAACTCTCCCATTTGAGTGTGCTACACTTTTACAATATCCCGCCTTCAGTCATTATTTGTTCTTCTACTGTAAGAGGATCCGATTGGGATTGTTTAAGCAATTCACAACAATCCTTAAACGGTTGTTTGCATTAACAGAGGACAATTATGTAAATAAAAACAAATGAATTTGGATGACATTCCTTTTTATCTCATTAAATGTAATCGTAGTTTTAATAGTTTGACTGAAGGTTTTGTAGTTTTTTATCATTCGGCTAAATCTGATGAGTGGCTGTGATTTCTGGAACCAGATATGATCAAAGAACTTGGGCCAAAGATGTAATCACAAATTACAGTTATAACAGACATTAAGTTGCTCTAGACAACTAACCTCAGCAAACACGGAAACAATTTTGGGGAGATACTGGTTATTGGGGCCCAAAAGTTCACCATCAGACCTAAAATGTGGAACATGGTAAAAAGTATAAAAATCAAGGATATACGTAGACACTAGATATAAATGAAGATAGATTCGAATAAAGAAGTGCTGTGCCAGAACAGGGTTAAGTCCGCACCTCTCTACCATTGAACAAAGCAGGTCATGAACAACTTTTGCCTCGATAAGATCACCCTTTATTGGCAAGCAACTCAGCCAGGCAGGAACAACCTATTGATATTATAGTGATCAGAATTTAAGTAAATATGGACGGCATGAGAAAGCAAAAGAAGCATAATAAGTGAAAATAAGATAATGAATCAACCACAAGCAAGACGACTTAAAATAAGTAAGCGTAACTTGGCACAAATTCTCCGAACATAACATATTTACATGTGCAGCTAAATTATCTAAGTATTAGATTAATATCAAATTATCAATGTAAACAGTGTTCATTTTCTTATGACCCCCAACCGTGAGGTTGGCCTTCACCTCACTTCACAAAATTTTGTACGAGTACATGAAACCTACCTATCTATCATCAGTTGAACTAATGTGTTCAAGCCCAGGACACATAAAACTTTAAAGGAAAGTATGCTTGCAGTTGGTCCTTTCACGAGGACAACATACTTTGAGTTCAAATCTATTAGTGGCTAGCAGTTACTGCTGACACTTGACGTGCAGCACAAGCCGGAAAATAAGTAAGAAACAGGAGCACTACCTGAGCTGAATCAATGCTGTCACGATGAAATTGGCAAATCTTTCCCAGAGCAGAAACAGCGTTATCATATGCCATCACATTTTCTGGCTGCAAAGCATTTGGGTTCCTGATAACCACATTAAGCCTTGAAAGAGCCTCTGAACAATTACACACAAGTCAGTTTATGGTTTCAAGATGAAAACTACATCTTACGAAGCTCTGGTACAAGCAAATCATACCTCCTACAAGTGGTTTAAATACAGAGCCTCCAAATTCTGCACATACTCCAAGTCCATACACGGCAGCCTGAGTAAACAAGAGTTAGTTGTGATATGCCCAAGCAAACCAGATGGATAGACTATGTTAGCAGCTTTTGTGAACCTGTCTGACATCTGGATTTTCATCATTGCAAGCCTCAAAGAGGAAAGGAAGATATGTATCATAATACCTGGTTGCTCATGAAAAGAAACAAAATATTAAGAAGATATCCAAATTGTAACAAATTTCAACAATTTTTAGAACTTCTACATACTTCAGAGCTGCTTCACGGCACTGTTCAGCTACATCATCAAATATACAAATAGCAATTCTTCTCTCTTCCGCTGTCTTATCCTTCCCCTGCAAGACAAGACATAAACTCAATCATCATTCAACCTAGCATAATGTATATGAAACCACAGTTATGTTAGTATATTTCATTTTTCTGAATCAAGGAATGACGTCAACTCACCCACATAGGCATCAGATATGATGTCAGCTCATCAAAGAAAGGCAAGAACGAACCCTTGAATGTTTTAATTAAGGTTCCCAATAATTCGCCAATCTGAATGAAGCGAGAACCACAAGGAATAAAAATTAATGAATGAGCATCTTAGAACTTATTTAACACTGTATTTTACATACAATTAGTCGTATCCTCATTATCCGAAAGAAAAACGAACCTGGTCAAATACTTCTTCCTCTTGCTCATTTTCTTCTTTAAGCAGTTCTCCCTCCTCAGCATCAAAATCTTCAACTGTGGCTCTTTCGGCCCTTTCCTTTTTCCTACTTGAGCTAGCAGTGATCACCTGTTTTATCTCATCCACAATTCTTCTGACCTGACTCTCGTCTAAAAGTGGTCCACAAATCTGAGAGCAACAGTATTCAATAAATGATAATAAATTGCTAGCAGCTAGTAAGATTGGAACTCCATGAAATATAAGTAGAATGCAGTACTTATTATGAATTTAAATCCTATGTAGATTTTCCAATTCAAAACTTGGTGCTTTTGATGAAACATTAATCATCTTACAACAAACACAGCCAGTTCCTACTACAGCATCAGGGAAGATACAATAATGCAGTCAACTTTAACAAATTTTCCAATTTTACAGAAATTCCAGAGCTAACAAAGCAACATTACCGCAATGTAGAAACCATAACTTGACATATCAAAACTTTATGAACAGTCGGAAAATCCCAAAAAAAAAAACAAAAAAAAATATCGCATATTTTGCCCAGGAGGCATCATATAAGTTCGGACTTTAAGACAAACCACACAATATAAAATGTCACAATTCTACTTTGCAGTTAATTATAAGTCAACTTAAAACATTAATGGAGTATATTCGCTTGGGATTTCTAAAGACTTTTTAAGACTTCAAAAATCCTGGTGCATTTAATTAAGACATTTTAAGTCCCTTTAAGACTTTTAAAAATCTTGACGTATTCATTTCAGATTTTAAAAAGTCTTACAAAATCTTGAGGTATTTAACTTACTTAGGTTAAGATTTGTTGGGATTTCAAACGAAAAAATCATGTATACGAAATCTCACTCCAAATCTCACCTCCATACTTTGAGATTTAATAGGATTCCTCCTAAATCCGAAAATCTATAAAAGTCTCAATCTCAAAAAAATGTCACTCAAAATCCCAAAAGAATACACCCCCTAAAATTGTCAACATGTATATTCTACTTTATGATAAAAGTATCTCACCTGCACACATTCGTTCATAGAATCCAACATATTTGCACATATCTCTGTATCGGGTTCCTGCATAACGCAAAAATCTACATCTGTAATTTCCATATAATAACACCAGTAGTCATAAAACAAAATACAGGTATTTCATATATTGTGAGTAAAGCATATCAGACCTTGTGTAAAGCTTCAACTAAAGGACCAACTATGTAATCACACAACTGCTTAACATATTGCTCATTAAAGCCCTGAGCAATCCCTTTTTCCACGGCCAATTTTGCAGAACGCAGAAGCTCAGGCATTGCTACAAGAAAAATTTAAACAAACCATAACATACATTAGCAATTCCAATATACATATAATAATATTACTGTTAAGCAAATTCTATATCACCTGAAACAGCAGCCTTCCTGACTTCTTCATGGAAATAAAACTTCAACAGTGGAACCAGTATTGGGGCTACCTGCACCATATCATGAAGCACAACTCTATTAAATTATGATCCACCATTGAGGCACTACGCAAAAACAAATAGACCTAAACTAACCTGATCAATCCATGGGAAAAAACCTTCCTTCAATTCATCAGCATAGCAACACAGCATATTGCAGGCAGTGGCCTTTTCTTCTAGGACACTAGTTTTAATGCCAATTCTTTTATCGCCTAGGGTTATGATCTCCATGCTGCAAAAATTAGAATAGTAACATTGATCTAGGATACAAATAGACGGATACAATTAGGTCCCAAAGGATAAAGGCATGAAAAATGCTACAACTATGATTTTCCAGAGCAAAATCAAGTTGTTAATGCACAATCATTACATTTTTATAGCGATTTTGTTAAAACGAATGAAGTAAAGCAATTTCATCATCAAGAAAAACAAAATACAACTGATTCAATTACTCAAGTATCCTCCATGAAGTTGACATTCCTGGCAAATAAGTCAAGAGGACTCTAAAGGACAAAAAATAAAATAAATAATACCTTTCATCATCTGACTCATCAATTTCATCATCTGAATCGGCAGATGTAATGATCACATCAGGCTTTAGCTGAGCAGACTGAAGCAAAGGAGGCATAACTACACTCATGTAAGGAAGAAAATCCTGCCCTAAACATTTGCAAAGTCGAGCCCAGGCCTATACAGAGAAAAAGGTTAAAAATTAAGAAAGAAAATTAAATCATTACACCTCAGGTATGGACTTCACAGATTCAAAGAGACATATAATGGCTTACCTGTAGCATGTAACTCGTAGTTGGATCATCGGTCTCCATTTGTGATCCTTGCAATGACATAAGCACTTCCATCACCTTGCATATATTGAAGAAATCAACATCACTCGGCAATTATAAATAAAGACAAACCACCATCAATAACCTGAAGCAACTGAGTTAGGCAAAAGGATGAATAAGAATATGGTATAAATCTAGTCAACACAGGAAGTACGGACTTTAAAGAATGTAGATACAACTGTATTATAATGAGCAGTGAAAGGAGAAATATAGTACATTCACCACGAAACTACAGTCAGATCATATAATCTATAATCATTTACCTGCTTAGCATCATTCTTGAATTTCTCCTTCCCAACTGCCATACCAACTAGGCTGATGCATTCCATAGCTTTCGCGCGAAGCATGCGGTTAGACTTGTCTGTCGCATTAACCAAGATTGCTTTCAGATAAGGCATGACAGCATCATAGTACTTTTGGAAATGTTCCTGCCATAACAAATTCCAACTATGAACTCAATATAACTGGACCAAAAAAATATTAAAATTGAAGTGTCATTACAATGTTGCTATACCTGTGATGAATCAGCAACTGAAGCTAAAGCGGTTAAGGCACCCTCTTGCACCATTTGTTTGGAGTTCTACAATTTACAAAACACAAATTAGTTATGATATCATATATCAATTACAGCATATGAATAAATTTCATGCATGTCTCCAGCATTAATTTTTTTATTCAAATGAAACTGCACCTGTAGAAGTACAAGCAGCTTCTGCACCGTCCCATCTAAGTAAGGAGTCAAAATTTCTGGGGTACAGTTCTCACTGAAGTTAAGGATTGCCGAAGCTGCATGAGCCTGCATGCAAAAAATGCAACTGGTAAATATTACACAGATTCCAGATGTACCACAGGACTACAAGCATCTAAAACTTTCAGCAAGTCACGGCAGGTGATTTTCAAGTATACACTCTAATACATATAATCACTTTAATTTTCAAAGTATACTTTAATACATTATCACTTATGCTGTTCATGTTTTAGGAGCGAAGCATAACTTTTTTATATTCTTTGTAAGAATAGGCATCTTTTATTAGTTCAAAACACATAAAGCAAAATCCCTAAGCAGAAAAAAAGAAGATGAAAGTGATATTGATCCCTTCTTTGCCAACATGGGAAGCATGAACAAGAGAAGTCACAGTTGCATGAGAGAGAATTCATTGTTATATAATCTACACCTGAACTCGAGGATTCTGGAAATCATCCATAGCTGCAACAAGAGCCGGCAGCACACGTTGATGGTACTGAACTTGCAATTCTGGACCCAAGTCGGTCGATAGCTGACCAATTGCATTAATAGCTGACCATCTCACACGTGGATGAGGATGTTGAAAGGAGTTCAAAACCATGTTCACAACATGCTCCAAATTTTTAATCATTACCTATCGTAGCAAAGTAATAGGAACTATGTAAGTCGTAAAGGGATTGCATCACTCTCAGAAAAGTATACAGGAAAATACTATTTTTGACATAAGTAAAATTAGTCGATATCCTTAACTTTAAGCAACCCATAGCTACAGAATATAACAAATTAAAACTAAAAAGTCTGCTAAATCCCCTAAAATCTACCAGAGTTGAAGTGAGACACGAAATTACATCAATCTCACTTAATTAACTTACAAAGTTTAAAACATCAGGTGATGAAGCATAAAAAGAATATTTGTAAAGATAATAAACATAAATATAGATAGAAACCAGATTGATTTGCACATTAATTTGTTACATGTGCTCATGTGTCCATTGAACAATGGATAAAACATCAGACCTAACTTGCAACTCACTGGGCGCTACAAAAGAAATGAGTACCTCGTAAGTCATAATTATTGTTAAACAGAGACTCATATGTATATACCTTAGAACAACCTTCCGCTATTTGTGCAAGTGCAATAAGGGCAGCGTGATGCTTCTGCCACTCAGGAGCCGACAAAAAAGCAGCAAGCTGCTCAGATGCCACAGGAACAATTGTATTCCCACCCAGAGCCATTGCAAGCCTGTCCAAACACTCCTGCCCCACACTGTAATTACCGGTCTCCCCAGCATCCTCGTCCTTAGCCTCTGCACTGTGCCAGGCGGGATCATCTTCCACATCCAAAAGCATCTTCAATAAATTCGCAAAAAGCCTGCTAATGAACTGTGGCAACTTGCGCATCATTCCAGGCGCCCTTTCTCGTGCTTCAGCTAATGTAATTACAAACTCAATTGCCAAATGCCTTGTGCCCTCCTCCAGGCTATCGGCCTCTGCTATCTGCAGCATGGACCCAACAACATCCACAATCTGCCTCCGCAGGAACCTAGGTTCTGTCCCAGCCAATTCAATCAGCAATTCTAAAGCCTCCTGTGCAGTAACCTCCTGTCCCGAGTTCAGTGCCTCGGTCAACGTCCTCATCATTGAAGGCAGCAAATCCTGGAACCTATCGCGGTCATTCGAGCTTGACAAACACTGGATAAAATTGATAACGGCACTCAGCGCTGCTATCTTTACATCCGGATTGGGAGAGCTATTCAGCACGTTCAGAAACACAGTGTGTAAATCGGTTATGTATGGGAGCAATATTGCTCCAATAAATTGGGCTAACTGGGAGAATATCAAGAAGGCAGACTCCTGCAATTTAGGCGAACTGGAAGTCACACACTGAAACATGAAGGGCAATAGTTCAGGCCACTGATTTTCGGGTAACAACGAGGAAGCGAGCTCGGAGATGGTGTCGCAGAGTTTTTTTATTATAGATTTGGACTCCTCGTTCTGGATTGCGGACAGCAGGGTACTCTTAATGGAGGAACGAGTCGACTCGGTGAGTTGTGGCCAGATGTAGGAGTCGTCCCGACTAAGCTGCTTACGGAGAAGGATGGTGGCCATGGCACGGGCCTCAGGGTGCACAGAGGATGAGATAAGTTGGGCGAGTTTGAGGGCGAGCGAATTGGGATCGTTCTGCTTGATCAGATTGAAGATTGACTCGGCCTGGGATCGCTGTTCGTTGGCCGATGACATCAAGTGGGAGATGAGAGTCTCGAACGGCGCCGGGTCCGCCCCCAAAATCGCCGCCAATTGAGCATCCATCTTCCAACCGCCTCCGCCGCCGCTGCTCGATGAAAGACTAGGGTTTTGGAATTGTGTAATTTTGCAGATGTTTATAGCGATAGTGCTCACACACACACGCTCTCGCTCTCTTTCTCTCTGTTTCTAAAATGTCTGTATGTCTCTCTCACACACAGCAGCGCACACACTGAAGGTGTGTACCTCTCAATATATATAGAGAGCCACACAAGGAGGCGCAGGCGCACACACAAGAACACAGTTATGCAGGGATGAGGGCGTGGGGTATTTTTGTCAATTTCTCTAATGTGAGTGAGCGACTGTACAAATATTTGTAGCGCAGTGTACAACCTCCAACTGAGGGAAACGGGAGGGAAAAGTAAGGGGGGCAAATGATGATAAGTGTGGCGCTAATTAGGGCAAAGTAGGATTAGAAGGTCTGAGGTGGGACTGATGTGCAATAATTAGACGCGAAATGGTCTCGTATGGGCGGCGAACGAAACGGATATATAATTTAGTGTGAAATTCGATAAATAATGTGTAATTATATGTGTTGTTGGTATTAAACTAGTGTATATCCCGTGCCATGCACGGAAGAGTTCATATTTTAAACATTTTTTAGATTTTATTTTAAATATAATTATTTATATTTTTCACATCTCGTCTATTATGAAAATAAAATAAATACAATCAATGAAAAATATATAATATTAAATACTTTTCTTTATACAATATTTTTTATTTAAGGAATATTATTAAACCTTACGGTTTTGATTTGTTTTCTTAAATCAATAATCCAAAATATATGATTGTTAACGTACAACAAATAATGGAAATAATCCAGACTTTAAAGTAAAGCTATTTTTTATTATTTTACAAATAACAATCTTCCAAATTTTTTTTAATTTCAAAAAAAAATTGACAAGTTTGATAATGAGTTAAATCAAGTTATACAAATGATTAAATAGTTAAAATGTTATATTAATTATATTTTAAGAAATCCGATTATATAAAATGGGTAAAAAATATTATACTAATTAGTTTGTTAGGATTGTGATTATATGGAAGTTAAAATAAAATGAAATGTAACCAAAAAATTTGTTCGTGGTTTTTTCCTAAATGTTTGAATTTAAAAATCTAGTAACCAAATTTACATTATATCACGTAAGGAAAAAAATAAATAACAAATATTTATTAAAGAGATAAATCAATAATATTTATCACTTAGATAATAAATAATAAATATTTACGTGTAAAAAAATAAATAATAATATATTTAAAAATATAAGTCAAAATTTCAAATAAAGTAAAAGGAGGTATAACTCATTTATTAAAAAAAGTTTCTAAATATTTAATATATTGATAAGTATCTCCATAAGAATAATCATACCATTTTAATTTTAAAAAAAATTGGCAAGTTTGTTAGAGAGATAAATCCGGTTAGACAAATGATTAATTTGTTAAGATATTGCCCTTGTTTGGCGATCAGCGGATAGCAGATTGTATGAGCGGATAGTGAATAGCGGATTATATTAGCTGATTTGACCAGCGGATTGCATTAGCGGTTTTTAAATAAGTGTTTGATAAATAGCTGAAAGCTTTTAGCTGTTTGACATTGCAAAATGACCAATAAGGACATTTTATTATTTAGGGTGTATTCTTTTAATAATAATATATTAAAACATTTAATATTCTTTAGTTGGTAATTTATAAATATATATATTTTTTTTAAATTTACTAACACTTGATGAAGAAGTTATGAATTTTACATTTTTCTAGATAAATTAATCATATGGATGACATATTATTATTTATTAGCTCTATAAACCAATGTAGATTGTAAAATAAATAAGACAAATTAAAAAGTCTTAAGTAAAACCTCTCAATTGTGAATCCTCTATCCCAAAAAGCTGCTCTAATGAGCTTTTTCTAAAATAGAGTTTTGGGTCCAAAAAGCTTATCAAATAAGTTATTTATCAAACAAGCTCAATAGCGGATTTGACGGGTCAAACCTCTCAATTAAGTCCAGTCCGCTAATTTATCTTCAATCCGCTATCTACCAAACGGGGCCATTATATTAATTGTATCATAAAAAATCGGTTAGATAATGTAGATAAAAAAATATAATACTAATTAGTTTGTTAGAAACTAGTAATTGCCCGTGCGATGCACGGGATGGTATATTTCTAAACATTTTTTAATATTAAATATTAAATTTAATGAACTTGTTATATTTGTAACAAAAGTAAAACGTTGGGCGCAAACTACAAAATTCATAAATTATTGAAAATTGTTTTATACACAACGTTTTTCGTTTGCTTTGGCGGCGAGTCACCGTCACTACAAACTAAAATTTTCAATTAATTTTGAATTTGGAGATTGCATCGCATGGGTACCGTATGTACTTGTTATATTCGTGGAAGATTGCATCGCATGGGTACCGTATGTATTTATTAATTGTATATATTAATTTATATCTTATAATATGGTATTCTACCAAATTTTAGTTAATTTATAGTACAAGTAAAAAAAAAATTAAAATCTATATATGAAAGATTCCATACTTAAATGTATTAATATTGTACGTAAATATTAATTGCAATATCTCCTACATATATTCGGAAATAATAAAACTGGTTGATTACGCAGTTAAAAATTATGGAATGCATAACAAACTCTATAAACGTGTATATTAATTGCAATTTATCCTACATATATTAGGAAATAATATAACTGGTTTACTATTGCCTTCAACATTTGAATATTAATTTATTAATTTATATCTTATAATATGATATTCTACCAAAATTTAGTTAATTTATTTATAGTAGAAGTAAAACAAAAAATTTAAAATCTATATATGAAAGATTCCATACTTAAATGTATTAATATTGTACGTAAATATTAATTGCAATATCTCCTACATATATTATATCTATAATAAAACCGGTTGATCAAATATACTTAAAAAATAATGAATGCATCGTCTCTCTTTAAACGTGTATATCTCCTACGCGTATATCTCATTATATATGTATATCTCCTACGCGTTGAAATAATAATATATTACAAAAGATAAAGACTGCATCTAATCTCATTTTGGGATAAGATGTATATTAAATTTATATGTGTTTTATATTATATTAATTAGGTTTCTATACATCAATATAAGGAAACAATATAACCAATTGGTGTAATTTATATTATTCAGTTATTTTTGTACGTAAATACTAAATACAATATTTCATATTTGAAAGATTTGCAGTCAATTCCTAATAATTTTGTAAGTAGATACTTTCAGATGTTTTAATCAAGTTCCATAAATACTTAATCGAATTCGTTGACCCGTCTATTTCAACCTTATCTTTGCGTTTAACATTTTAAGTATTAATGTATATACAGCTTTGAATAAAAAAAGATTATTAAAATTATTATTTATATACAACTTTGAATAATAACAATCAATATATGCACCGACATTAAATATAATAACAATAAAATTAATAATAGAATTCAGAATTTTCAACGACATGGAGTAACAATAAATATCACAAACTACTAAGAAAGGCGTGCAGAAAAAGCATAGTAAATTGAACAAATATACTTACATCAGTATTTTTTAACGGCTTCTAATCTTCTCGGTCTCTAGCCACTCATTAGATGTGAGGAAAATTCTCCTCGTATTTGAACAAATGAGTTCTTCTATTCAGTGCATTGTACCTCCCGTGATTGAATTCAACAACATAGTTGCGGAGCACATATACCTGGCCCTCTTTAAATACTTCTCGAAATATTGCCATATGCGCTCAACGTATAATACCAACAATATAAATAATTAACGTAAGTATAGAAGTTTTATGTAACAATTCACCATATTGTCATAAACGACGATTTCCATGAAATTCCTGCACTCTATGTCGAATTGCCTCTCAAAAATTCGGATTACTCTCAGTTTCAAATAAGGTTTGTTGCTACGATTGACTTTGTCGAGTGTATCCCGGACCTGTGCCATTTTTTTTTTTTTGTCTTTTTTCAGTGCATTTGTTTTTCTCTATATTTTTTTTCCTCTGTATTTCGATGTGTTTTATTCTCTGAATTTTGAAACTTATATGAGTTGGAGAAGATGATAAAAATCCACAACTATATATATATATGTATGATTCTCTTTCAAATTAGCGTGCATAAAATAAGGAATAGTTGTTTTCTAAATTGAAAAAAAAAATGCCACATGTTTTAATAATTAGAAAATTTGTTATAGATATATCAGTGCAAATTTGTTATAGATATATCAGTGCAGATTGTGAAACGCGTGATTCTTAATTAATTATACGTGTGAACAGATTTTATTTGCAGTAATAGATATATCAGTGCAGATTGAAAAACGCGTGATCAGATTTTAACTGAAAAGATTTTATTTGCAGTAATAGATATATCAGTGCAGATTGGAAAACGTGTGAACAAATTTTAACTGAAAACGTGTGAATATTTATCTGTGCGGTTTTAAATATTAAATAGGAAACGCGAGGAAAAAAGAAAAATCCAGATTTCATTCCATGAATTATGCAATGCTTGAACAGATTATCGGTTAAGAAAAAAAAAAGAAAAAAGATGATAAAAATCCACAACTATATATATATATATAGAGTCGCGCTCCGGTGAGAAAGGTGCTAAACGCGAGAAATGAGAATAATCCATGGCCACAAGATCATTAGGATTGGATGGACACGATACAAGCAGGTAAATCACTCACGCCCAAATAATAGCAGGGTAAGGTTGTAATTTCATCTGATACATTAAACGCGGGCTCATAGCTGCGGGTATCCATCCACAGCTGGGGGAAAATTCGCTCTCGTATGATAAAGAAACCCCTAGCTCTGCAGATTCGAAAATTTCGATGGGAAATTCAAGCTGAAATTATTTGCAAAAGATCACATATTTCGAGGTTTCTGATCAAAATTTTGGACGCTCGAGTTCGAATTTTTAGCCATGGCACGAGCTGGTTTCCTTACCGTGACCGTTGTAAGCCAAAGCTCGATCGATTGTAAAACTCCGATACAACATACAAAGTCCGTTATCGTCAACCTCTCGCTACATAGATCAGGTATGCTGAACATTAATCACAATCTGTAATGTATTCCAATTATTATTCAAATTTTCCAACCAGTTCGTAAATTGATTTTAGGGATCTAAATCTGCGGAACAATCAATCGAGCTAAAAGGAATCCGATTTTTTTTTTCCTTTCACCGTGTTATATACAATCACTGTTGCAACATATGGAGTTGAACGACACCCAATCAGGTACAATATGAACTTTCTGACATTATTTGCTTGATAAGTGGATCCGGCAATTTAGTACCTGTCTTCATATTATTCAGTTGGACTAAAGTGCATAACTTAGATTATATAGTGCACTGTATTCAGCATAAATGTGCACTTTACTGATGTATCTATTTCCATATTAACTCGTTTCAGGAGGAGCCCCGACTGACAAATCACAACACCATCAACTTTTGATATCACCGGGTGGCACTAAATATTGGATACCCCAATGCGAGGACGCACTGAAGCCTCACAACGGACAACGATTTAGAGCTTTGAGTGAAGCGGTCGAGTTCTACCAACTGTATGCTTCTACTGTAGGATTCGACGTTAGGCACAGCACATTAGTGAAAGCACAACGAGATAAAACGATACTTTGGAAGTACTTGGTGTGCTCACGTGAAGGCTACAAACAACGCGTAAACACATGCCAACCGGTGCCAACCGAAAATCGAGTAAGAAGACGTAGAGTATCCAACCGGGTAGGATGTAACGCCCGAATTATGATACGATACAACGGACGCGACGGATATGTTGTTAAGTTTTTTGAGGAAAAACATAACCACACCATGATACCTGATGAGTGCAGATCACAGTTGAAGATCAATCGAAACATGACAGTTGCGCATCAAAGTTTTGTCCTCAATTGTATTAAAGCCAATATCGGGCCCGTAAAGTCGTACAAGCTGTACAAGGAGATGGTTGGAGGGTATTCGAATATTGGTGCCACCAGTGTGGATTTTAAAAACTTCAAGAGGGAACTCCTTGCGTACATTGTAGGCGCCGATGCTCAGTTGGTGGTCGATAAGTTTTATAAACGACAAGAAAATAGCTCAGCCTTCTATTTCCACTATGAATTGGATGGTGATGACTGCTTACGAAGGCTTTTCTGGGCTGATCCAATATCGAGGCGAAACTACAGTTCTTTTGGAGATGTCGTATCATTCGATGCAACCTACCGCACCAACAGGTAAAACCAATCTTGCACTGCTATGATATGCTTGCAACATAATGTCAAACAGAACACTTGTACATTATATAGACAATATGCGTTGTTGCTTATATGGTTATATCTTGTAGGTATAATATGGTTTTCGCACCTTTTACTGGGATAGACAACCATGGCAAATGTGTGACGTTTGCAGCCGCCTTGATATCAAAAGAAGACGTGGCTTCATACGTGTGGGTGTTCGAGAACTTCAGAAACGCGATGATTCAAGAGCCCAACTACATAATCACCGACCAAGATCCCTCGATTGGAATTGCTTTCACCAAGGTATTCACTAGTACCAAGCATCGTTTTTGTACGTGGCATATAATGAACAAACTGTGTGATAAGGTCGGCCACGCTTTGAATAATGATACCAATTTCAAACGGAGAATTAATGAACTTGTCTGGAGTCGACTTATAGAACCTGTTGATTTTGAAACTAAATGGGCTTCTATTATGGAGGATTATTCATTGGACACCCATAGTTGGTTTAATGATCTATATGCTAAAAAAGAGCACTGGATACCGGCTTACTTTAGGGATGTTGGAATGAGTGGTTTGATGAGAACTACGTCGAGATCGGAAAGCGAGAATAATTGGTTTAATAATTTTACGAACAATCATTCTAGTTTGGTCGAATTCTTGTTACACTTCGATAGTGCAATGGACGCACAACGGAACACCTCGATGAAGTTGCAAAGTGATTGTGAAACCCATCTGGCCGAGCTAAAAACTCCATTGCCAATTGAACAGTGTGCCTTAGCTGTGTACACAACGACGATATTCTATCGTGTGCAAAATGAAATTTGTGATGCGTGTTTCAAATGTCGACTTATGAAAATTTCTGAAAACGACGGTCGCATGGAGTTTACAATCGGTGACATTGGTGGGAAAACGTTTAATGTGATGCACAATGTGAGCCTGAACACATGCCAATGTTCCTGTAAGCATTTTGAGATGTATGGATGGTTGTGTAGGCATGCATTTGTTGTTCTAAAGAATATGAACGTAGATGTTATTCCACCCGCACACGTCATGTCAAGGTGGACAAAGCTCGCTATTAGCAACCCTATGTTCCGTATCCTCGACAGCATTTCTGAAGAATGTGCCCAGACGGACGAAAGGAAGACAATGGTTAATCAGTTGTGGTCCGACATACATATATGCATGGGTTTGGTCGAGAATCGCATGGACCATCTTGTTGAATTTTCCAAGATAGTTGGGACACATAAGCGAAAACTCATGGAATTTCGGGAGAGTGGTTCATCTGGCAATGACAGGGGGCATATTTTTGAATCATTCGTTGGCATGTCCGCACCATCAGAGGTAAGCATCCACCCGCCAACACAGTCGAAAAACAAAGGTAGTGGGAGAAGGATGAAAACCAACAAGGAGAAGTCAATTGAGTCGAGCAATAAAAAAAGAAGGCTTTGCAAGACATGCGGCGAAAGGGCAGGGCACAATACCCGGACATGCCCTAAAAAGCAGTAAATGTGTTACATCAGAGGTGCGTACCATTCAATTGGACCATTTAAAAATATAATTATATGTATAGTTATTATTATATTCAAGTCCGGAACCAAAGATTGAATTACTGATATATTTTGACTATATTTAAGAAGCAGTATGTGGAAAAGTGGGGAAGTATGTTGGTGGTACATACATGTTGTTGGTTTATACAGGGCTTGTATATTAAACTTATGTGTTACAATATTTTTTTACACATCATTCACATCGCATGTGCATCAATTGTGAATACTAATTGTCGCATATTTCATTAAGTGCAGGCCCGACATGCTGTGGGTGCGGACGTCCATTATGAAGCGCAAGGATGTCACATTGATCTCGTTTATAGCACATATGCACAAATATATTCCATATCTGTTATCATTTTTATTTTTATTTTTTTATTTTTTTTTATTTTTTTTTTTTATTTTTTTGACATGGTGCCTTGTTGTTATTTCGTGTACGGGTATTATTACAGACAGGATATTATTACAGACGTGATCCATTTTTTTATATTGTAGTTTTTAAATTCACAAGTACTACCAATTGATGTGCACCATTTTAATGCATATGTATGATGTGCATAGTATTACATTAGTCAGCACACTTGCACAACAACACGTGAGACATGCACATTATAACATGAGACATGCACATTATAGTTTGGTGGATTGCACTTTATATATTTATGATGTCACATCTTATCAAGTAAGGCTTGATTTTATTATGTATCATCACAGCACAGACACGAGAAAGAAAACCTTACAATCACTATGACTTCAGTAATCCACCTACATATGACACACACATAAAAAACGTAGTGTATGGTAATCGTTATTATGTGCACAATATCGTATTCACACTGCACGATATTTTGGTAAGGGCTGCACGGTATATAAACACAGCTCGCGCCACATAATAACTCTAAATTTTATATTGTTCGCGATACTAATACTACTGATACTACTACTAATAATAATAATAATAATAACAATAGTATCAATTTAGGTACACATATAAAATGACTTTGATATATGTGATACACGCGTAATGCACAATAGCAACTACGTGATTGCACAAATATGCACAAAAATATGCACATTTGTATTCCCAGTAATCGTTCTGAAAAATACTTAACTGACAACAAAAAAACAACACTGACCATATACACACATATACACACGGGTGACAATATGCGTCCATCAGTATCAACAGTAACCAATGCACATCACCTACAACTTTAAACGTTCGTAATTCTTCGTGTTACCAACACGAGTACTAATCCAGGAGCTTAGATACCCAAAAGTGTCAACAAAACAAGTACTAATCCACCAAAACAATTACTACTCAACCAATAGGAATTACCACATACACGATTCAGCAAAATAATAGCTAACGTTATCCACATAATACCAAAACGAGTACTAAGCCAACAGTTCGGTCACCCACACGATTCAACCATCAATCACACCGACTTACGATTCTTCATCTCCAAATACAAGGGACGAAATTTCATTGCCTCCATGAGATTAGATTCTTTTATCTCGTTGTTCGGTGCACATGCTATGACACAACTGTATCTCTTCCTCATGAGCTTCAACTGTTCCTTGTCACCTCTCTTAATCAGTGGACTCCAACTTTTACCAAATCCGCCTTTGAAGAATGTCTCCATATGACGCATCGTAATCACACCAACATCTGCCTCATCGACCCCCTCAGTCCAGGGTGCGCGGATGACATTGGGAACAGTCAATGTGATTGATTTAGACCTCCCCACCAGACTATTCTCACTTAGATACTTTGCAAGCGATTGCTTCTGTGGGGAAAAAAAATAAATAAATAAAATAAAAAGAAAAAAGTGTTCATAACACAATAATCGAACTAATGTAATTACGCCAATAGGAAGCATTACCAACAGCATGACACGAGACATAAACACTTTCTTCACACCGTCGTCTTTACAAGTACCAGCACTATTCAAAATACCGAGCTTTAGAAGATCCGGCGCAATGCACAATAAGCCCAAGAAAGCCTCCGAGTGCACAGGAAATAGAAACTGTATACATGAATATGAAAAAAGAACATAACAAATAAATAAATAAAAAATCATGAACATCGCAATATATTGTTCATAAATTTAATGAGTGCTAACAGGTATTCGCTTACCATCGATATCTTGTTTAATTTGTAAGTGGACATTCGTGCAATTTCCAAATCTAAAGTTTGAGCAAATTTTTTATAAATCAAGTCCTTCCTCCGTTTACCATGGTAAAACAGCTGCAATTGACAATGCCGAAATACAAAAACGAACATATCATGATCACGAATGCAAACATTTAAGGTATCATTAGCATACTGTACGATAATGTACCTCATTGCACGGGGACGTAGTTGCGTAAAAACATGCTGGCGTGGCATGACTTTTGAGCTTCTCGTTATAGTTCAGAATGCACGACCACGCATCCAACAACTCTTTTGAAATGGGTGTATTTGGAAGCAAACATGAAACGACATGCTTCTTCACAGAATATTCAGAATATTTGGGATGTTGAAAGATGATGACGCCACTGATCACATGTGTAACCATGCAAACGTTATAAAGAAGAAACGCATATTAATTAAGCTTAGAATAATACACGTACGTACGCAATTATAAATTACCAAAAAGTTTAATACCATAATACGTTGTAATGAGGAAAAAAAAAATCAATGAGAAGAAAACAGACAAACATACTCATCATGGACATCCTTCTTCAGCGTCCAATTAGCGATCATTCTCTCGTGCCCATCGAGCTTCTTAGTCACGTTAATTGTCCTCTCTATAAAAGGAGACTTGACTGCACTTGTCACCCTGGTACTTCTTTTCGGCCTCGGTGACCTGTCTGAATCACCTGCCTCTTCCGAAAAAAAAAAAAATCAAAACATAGAAAACAATATGTTAATAAATAAATAAATATATACATGCATGCGCGCTTGTGTGTGACTCAACACAACATCAACATCAACGATTACAATTAGTACATTAATAGTTCTATATATTACACGTTTATACCTGTAGTAACATACTTATCGGGTTCCTGTCCAGAATCTTCAACAATCGCTGCCATGTCAGTCGTATTGTCAGACAACCCAACTGTGATTTCGCATATGGACAAACAAACATATTAAAACGCCACAACAATTATATATAACTAAACACGCCACGAACGAGACACCTACATTAATGAAACAATTTACTGCACGTACCTTTTTGCACATCAACTTCTGTTTGCATCACAACAGTCGGCTGTTTATATCCATAATCGCTCGTATGTCGATGTGTGTTGTCGGCAACACCATCGGCATCGTCATCTGAAGATAAGCCCAAGCTGAAACTAGGGACATCGCATTGCATTCTCTTGAAGCGATCCCGCTGCTCGACTGCTTTCATAATCTCATCTATCGCAGCTAACGTGTCAGAAGCATTCCAGAACGCGTCATCGGCTAGCTGTGATGCAACACCCTTCGCGTGGTCCTTCGATACATCGTCTTTCTGGGCACACGTGTCACGAGGCTGACTTGGACCGGGATGGCTGGGATTAACTGGCGGCACCTCAATATACACACCAAGAAGCTTCTGAGCGGCCTCGTGCATTTTCACAAAGTTCACGTCTCCTAGAAGAACCTGCGGCGCCTTTTCAACCAACTGTAATATGTCAACTCCGGTGGTGGCGAGAAGGCGAGTTTTAGAAGCAAACTCCTGAACGTATGCCTGCACATTAAATCAATTCGTTAATGCACGTTTCTGTCAATCACGATGCACAAATATACAACATATAGTGCACGCTATATTTTCGATGTTCCTCTGGCAGACTTTGATAATGCACAGTATGTATTTGGGAACATAAAAAAAAATATTAAACGACAAAAATAGTGGTCATGTCAATATGAAAACAAATTGCCGCATTCTTATAATATACACGATTCGTATATTAAAACTCCGACTGCGTGTGTGTGATTGTGCACATTTAATTATATCATAATGCACAAATGTAAATATAATAATGCACATTATATATTTGTGGGTTTGTCAAACAAACTTGTGATGCAACAAATACAAATAAAATCGACGATTGTGTATAAATGAGAAACGCATCCAGGAGACACAGAAAAAAAAAAAATGAAAAAGAAAGATAATCATTCGAACCGTACATCACTGTTTACCTGTACACAGTGGCCATCTGTCACACCAGTAACATCACTTACGCCATCGTATTTTAGTCCGCTTTTATCCAGCCGGCGACTATCGGCAAACAAACGGAAGTCTACATCCACAAAACCTCTACCAAAAGCTCCCACATCAATCTCGTCGTGTTCTCTAGCTTTTAACGCCTCGTTGCTCCATGATCTAAACACCGGGAATGTTCGTGTGACTGATCGCACAGACAGTACAACCTTGTCTACATAGAACAACTGTCCCACACACAAACAAACATACGATTACTCGATTAGTATGATAACATACAAACGTATAAAACGAAGAAACAAATAGGAATAAAGGTAAGGGAAAAGAAATAAAAAAAAAATGAAACAAAATGAATAAAAGATAAGTAGTGTCTGACCGTCAAGAACAACAAAGGCCCTGTATACTTCTTTTGTTTACCGGTTGAATCCCACGACCTCTTTGTTTCAACCAAGCATCGGATCATATAGGAGCACCAATTCATCTTGCTAACCACAGACAAGTCATCAAGCATGTGTACTAAACGGAAATTCGCCATTCCATTTAAACAACTCTCAAACAAACAGGACACCATGAGGACAATGAAATGTCGCTTGAACCAGTCCCCGCCATCCTCACATTCGTTCATCTTATCCAGCACCTTCGACGCCGTAATGTTCGTCGGTTGTCTGACGTCGAACAGTGCAATCCACTCATCCAAAAGATTAGATGTAACTCTCTTTTGTTTATTCTTAATTTCAACCTCTCCGCGAGGCAACCCAAACACAGCATACACGTCGTCTTCCTTAACGTGTAACTTCTCACCGCCATACAGCTGGAGCTTCCGGTCGAGGTGGTTGAAATTGTCTACTAACCAATATCCCAGCTTTGACGGTGTTGCTGTTATGCTCAGCTCCAACAAGCACCCAAAACCCATCTCACGAACTGCGTTCTTCTTGACATCTGAAAGGCTGGATATCGCCTTCACGAATATAGCAGTTGAAGACCTCGTGGTCACTCTCAAGAACACGTCGTCATCATCGCTATCCACAACAATGTCAGATGCCTCTCCAACATCATGTTCGACTACAATATCGGTATCAGCCATTTTACTTTTACCCTTAACTACAAAATAACAAACAAAGATAATATCATCAAACACCGACTGTGGTATGTAAAAAAATATATACATATATAATTCCATACAAAGGTAGACACGTACCATTCCGTTTTTTTGTGATTTTTGGTAGGCAGCGTCGAGGCACGTCATCAACAAAATCATCGCTATCAATTTGGCTTGGTTTGCGTGCACCACATTTCGGACGCTTCGACTTCGGGTGGTCACCGACACGCTCTGGATCAATAAGAGGTCTCTTTGATCCTGTGTCTGTACGACACACAAGGATTCGTAACATTAATGTAAAGCACAAATATCATTAATAAAGTAGACTAACATTAGAATAACAATCTCATTAGTTCATAAATAATTACCGTCTTGTTTGTTATTATGATTCATGGGCGTGCAGACTTGATGTAATAAGGGAAGGCTTGCGCTATGTTGAGCACCGTATCGCTTTTTTGCAAGTTCTGACAGAGGGACATCGTCAACGTCATTGTCACTAGCAGTTTGGCACATTATGCGTTCACCAACTTTTGAATGCTTCGGAAGGTCACCAACGCGTTCTGGTTCGTTAAGAGATCCCTTTGACACTGGGGCTGTACAGTGTAAATGGACTCATAAACACATATATACAAACAAGGGCGTTAATAAAACAAAATACGTTCGACTATCAACTTCATTCGTTCGTAAATAATTACCGTCTTGTGTGTTAGCATGTTCCGTGGTCCTGTCGTCTTGCTGTACTATGGGCAGTCTCGTGCGATGTCGAGTACCACACTGTTTTTTTGCAAGTTCTGCCAGAGGTACATCATCAAGGACGTCATCACTATCAGACTGGCCCGTTATGCGTGCACCAACTTTCGAATGATTCAAACAGCCACCGACACGTTCTGGCGAATCGAGCATTCTATCCAACGTCGGATCTGTACATCACACAAGTGTTCAGAACACGTATATAAAAACCAAAGAGCATTAACAATGTAGACCAACTTTAGAATATGGATATGAGTACTTCATAAATATTTACCTTCTTCTGTGTTATTGTGTTTTGTGGACGTGCCACTTTGATGTACTAAAGACAATCTTGTAGTACGACGGGTGACAGGCTGTTTTGCTGTGATATCTGCCAGGGGTACATCCTCAACGAAATCGTTGTTATCGGGCTGGCTCGGTATGCGTGCACCAAGTTTCAATCGCTTCAAGCGGTCACTGGCACGTTCGGGTGTAGCGAGGGCTCTTCCCGACACTGGAAATGTATAACACACAATGGTTGAGAAGACAGTAAAAGCAAAGAGCACTAATAAAAATATATTTACTTTATAATAAAGATATGAATATTTCATAAACAATTACCTTCTCGTGACTTATCAGACTTTGTGGACGTGACCCTTTGCTGTACTGAGGGCAGTTTTGTACGACGTCGAGTCGCTATCAAGAGATGATAAATATTACAAATAATACAACATTAGGTCAAAGCAGAAAATGCATTATATCTGATAATATATATATATATACATTAAAAGCTATAACGTGCAACAGACTAAACACAACATACAGAACATTATAGAATGTACCTCCTTCGCCATTCTCCATACCTCCTTCACCATTATGTTCGGGTACGACGTCCGTCTTCTTACGGGTAGTACCTGCACACAATGAAACATCAAGAGTACACCTCACAAACTTATTTGTGGAAGTTGTTATAAATAATCATAATAATGATAATGGGTTCAAACTTAAGCAAATTTGAATATAAGTGAAAATACACTATAGGGTGTCATTGTGAGATTACCAGCTGAATGTCAAAATTGTAAAGTTGTTATAATTCTGTGTGTTTC